TTCAAACGAAATGACGTTTGGGAATTGGTGCCAAGGCCTGATGATCGCACGATTATTGGTACGAAATGGGTGTTCCGTAACAAACTTGATGAAAATAGAATAATCACTAGAAACAAAGCTAGGCTCGTAGCTAAAGGCTACAATCAAGAAGAAGGCATTGATTTTGAAGAAACGTATGCACGTGTAGCACGTTTAGAAGCTATTCGTTTACTTCTTGCTTTTGCTTCGTCTATGGATTTTAAACTTTATCAAATGGATGTTAAGAGTGCCTTCCTCAATGGTTTTATTCAAGAGGAAGTGTATGTTGACCAGCCCCCGGGGTTTGAGGACTTTGAGTTTCCCGATCACGTCTTCAAACTCAAGAAAGCGCTCTACGGTCTTAAACAAGCACCACGTGCTTGGTACGAACACTTGAATAAATTTCTTTTGGATAGTGGTTTCCAAAGGGGAAAGGTAGACACCACACTTTTCATCAAGAGTAAAAACAATAACATCCTTTTGGTTCAAGTTATGTAGACGACATTAAATTCGGTGCTACTAACGAGTCTTTGTGCAAGGAATTCTCAATGCTAATGACTAGAGAATTTGAAATGTCAATGATGGGCGAGCTCACATTCTTTTTGGGACTCCAAGTTAAGCAAATAAAAGATGGAACGTTCATTTGCCAAACTAAATACTGCAAGGAGCTCCTAAAACGGTTTGAAATGGACAGCGCCAAAGCCATGGCGACCCCGATGAGCACGTCTGATCATCTTGACAAAGACGAGAAACGTAAGGAAGTAGAGGTCAAAAAGTATCGAGGTATGATCGGATCCCTTCTTTATCTTACTGCTAGTAGGCCGGATATCATGTTTAGCGTTTGCCTTTGCGCAAGGTATCAATCATGTCCGAAGGAATCGCACTTAACGGCGGTAAAACGGATTATGAAATATCTTGCCGGCACGGTAAACGTTGGACTGTGGTATCCAAAAGGCTCTTCTTGTCATCTCGTTGGTTATTCCGACTCGGACTTTGCCGGTTGCAAATTAGACCATAAAAGTACGAGTGGGACTTGCCACTTACTTGGTAGCTCTCTAGTCTCATGGTTTAGTAAAAAGCAAGTCAGTGTTGCGTTATCCACAACCGAAGCGGAATATGTAGCCACCGGTAGTTGTTGTGCTCAAATTCTTTGGATGAAGCAACAACTCGTGGACTATGGCCTTAGTATCAATCACGTCCCTCTTCGTTGTGATAATACTAGCGCCATAAGCTTGACTAAGAACCCCGTTCTTCACTCAAGGACGAAACACATTGACATTAGGCATCATTTCATTAGAGATCATGTTCTCAAAGGTGATGTCGAAGTTGAGTTTGTTGAAACACAAAACCAATTAGCCGACATTTTCACAAAACCTTTAGAGAAAGAGTCGTTCTTCTGCATTCGAAGTGAACTCGGTATCCTTGACTCCACGATGATCTAAGTTATGCATCTAAACTTGTTAAACGCTTACTAACTTGAGCGTCGGAGAACTTTTTTCTTTTTTTGCAGGTACCCCGTTCATGAAATCAGGGGGAACCATGCAAACAGCGTTGTCCAAGAGACCAAACAGCGCTGTTGAGAGAAACACTGTCAACCAGTTTGTGCCAACAGCGCTGTACAACACGCCAACAGCGTTGTCCCAGGGAGTCTCTTACTCTTCACTTTCCAGAAACTTTTTGAACATCGCTCTTCCAACCTAAAACATCGATGTCCCCCAAAACACCTTGTTTTTCAACCAAAACGAGAAACTTTTTAAACAGCGATGTCCCTCTTTCAACATCGATGTCCACTTTTACAAAAAAAAATTTCCTATCGTAAAACAGCGATGTAGAGAAACTCAACAGCGCTGTTCTAATGGGTTCAACCCCTTACACAATTCCAGAATGATTTGGAACATCGCTGTAGGGAACCCAACATCGCTGTCCATTTAACACCTGATTTTTAAAACTAGACGCATAACAGCGCTGTCCAGAGGCTCAACAGCGTTGTCCCAACAGCGATGTAGCCTTTGAAACATCGCTGTTCTGGATAAATTTTTCAAAAAAAAAATATCCGCTGGCACCAGCATTAATTGATCCAACAGCCATATTTTTGAAAATCTGGACGTTGGAGACCTCTTTCTCTATAAATTGGGACCTCCCCTCTTCACTTTTACACACACAAACACAATTCTCTTCAACATCCTTGCTTATTTCATCATTTCTACTCTCTTCTCTTGAGATTTCTTCATCATGGGCAAAGATAAGAACAGGGCAGGAGCTTCCGGCAAATCCAAGGCCAAATCCCGGGCGCCTACGACATCCACCGAGGAACGCCTCTACTATGGTGACGGGTCATACCTTTGGTTTGATTCCAAGGAAGAACGCACCCGTTTCCTCACTTTCTTCTCTAAACGGGTTGTGGCTCCTCCATGGATCATCCTAGAGCGTTACCCGGAGCTGCAGGGCTACGACGACCTCGACGCGCAGCTTCATCAGGCCGGCCTTTGGACCTTCGTCTCCCGGGCTCGGAAGGAGATCAACCCGGCGCTGATTCGGGTCTTCTACTCCAACCTCCGGCGTGAGGGCGACGTGCTCTATTCTCTTGTCAAGAGCACGCCGATAGAACTGTCAATTGAGTAGCTTGGGCGCATCGCTGGCCTCCCCTACCAAGGCGACGACGTCTCCCTATATGGCGGAGAGGACTGGGTGCTCAACAACGAGGGCCTTATCCTCAACAAGCTTGGCATCACCGAGCTCATCCGCCATGCCTCGGGCCGCCCCACCATCCACTCCGCTAACCCCGATGGCCGTCTTCTTCTCTACATCGTCTCCCGGATCATCAAACCCAGGAAGCACGGCCACACCATCATGTCCGGTGAAGATCTCAAGCTCATCCATGCGATCAAGCACTCGGCCCCAATCAATTGGGCAAAGTTTGTCATGATCAACATGACGATTACCGCGTCCACCGACCACGACCACCTCCTCCCGTACCCATTCGTGGTGATGGACATCCTTGAACGGTTCAAGGTGACCACCACCGTTGGCCCACTCACAAAGGCCACGAAGATTTGGGCGGTCAGCACCCAAACCTTCAAGAAGCGGTCGAACAACGCCGGACCTGCCACTGCCGTGCAACGGCGACGTTCTGCTGCTGGCCCAGCCGAAGCCCAGGCCAGGGCCAACCTTGCCTCCATCGCCGACTCCCTCAACCGGCTTCACTTCAAAGTTGGCGGGATGGATGGCTACCTTGAGCGGCTCGACGAGGCTGTTCAACGCCAAGGGCACGCCATGAACGCATACTTCCAACGCGTTAACTACGTCCCCAGTCCCCCCACCGTACCATGGCACGTTCTTTGGGCAAGTGTACGGTGACGAGGACGAAGAGGATGGCTCCTATGCCCCGTCAAGCTCCCCGGACGAGGATGAGTTCGACGATGCCATTGACGGTGATGAGATGGACGTTGACGACGACGACGAGGAAACCAAAGACAAAGACTAGGCCGCCCCTAGAATTTCTATCTCTTTTATTTTAATTATCATGTCTCTTAATGCTTCCGCTGTACTCCGTTATTTCCCATCTTCAATAAATAGAAGTTATCTTTTATCTTTTTGTTAATGTCAAAAGGGGGAAGAAAAGGGCTATGCATATACTAAGGGGGAACGCCTCTAAAAACGAGACCGTTTGTTTTTAATCCGACTAATTTCCTTTAAGCACAAATTAAGGGGGAACTTTTTTACAACTTTTTGAAAATCAAATATCCCTTAATATGCATACCCCCGTCTTGTTTGCCATTATCAAAAAGGGGGAAATTGTTGGAGCACGGGTTTACGCCTATGTCGTACTAAGCCGTGTTCGTTTTATGACAGGTTTTGATAATGCCAAACCGCCGTGACAATAACAAGGTTAAACTGAGCAAAACCAAGGTGAAGGAACATGGCATGATGAACTGAGAACCAAGAACCAAGAATCAAGAACGAAGACTTAGAATTTTATTGAGTCGGTTTTAATGTGATCAAGACCGGCACAAACATTCAAAACATGGCTCTCTAGGCTCATTTCATCAAAATATTTTTTGCATATTCAAAATGATTTTCTTAAGTCTTAAACCTGCCTGAAAACACTTGGAGTTCGCCCAAACCAAAAACCAAGCCATCCGGCGTTCGGTTTTCAGAAATTGGCGTTCGGCTCTCGGTTTTCGGCATTGGTTTTTGGCGTCCCAACCAACCAAATGGTTTTCAACTTTTTATGAATGGTTTTTACTTCTGGGCATATTTAAATAGTTTTCCAACAAAAACGCTTCAAAAACCACCTTTCGCTTTTAGTCGTTTAGTGAAAACCATGCGAAACGGCGTAAACTTGGCTAGCCGTGGTTTTCAACTAAATGACGTGGTTTGCAAAATGTTTTACTTGATTTCTTAGCAAAATGCATTAAACAAACATTTTCAATACTTGGTTTTTATTTTGGAGAACTTACATTTTTGACATCGGCTAACGGCGTGACTAAACCAACCATGGGTCTGGCTAAACCAGCCCAACAGCGATGTTGAGGTAACCAACAACGCTGTCTGGCTTGGGTAGCTATAAACATGGTTTGGCGTTAAGTCCTCCAACAGCGATGTTGGACATTAGACATCGTTGTTGAAGCCAAGGTTGGATTTGCAGAAACTTCTGGAACAGCGATGTAGGCTTCCCTACAGCGCTGTCCAACCTAAGCCAAAGATATTGTACATTGGCAGAAAGTTTTTGGACAGCGATGTTGACCCAGAAACAGCGCTGTCAGGCCAAACTTCCATCTTCAAAGGCAGACCTAAACAGCGATGTTCTAGTATGGAACATCGATGTAGAGACCTGACCGTTGGAAGGAATTTAAGGCTAAAACTTTCCTTGTTTGGAAGTCAACAGCCAAAACAGCGATGTAGGGATTTTAGACATCGCTGTTGGCATGACCGTTGCTTCCCATTTTTCAAAACGCAAGCCTAGAANGACAGCGATGTTGACCCAGAAACAGCGCTGTCAGGCCAAACTTCCATCTTCAAAGGCAGACCTAAACAGCGATGTTCTAGTATGGAACATCGATGTAGAGACCTGACCGTTGGAAGGAATTTAAGGCTAAAACTTTCCTTGTTTGGAAGTCAACAGCCAAAACAGCGATGTAGGGATTTTAGACATCGCTGTTGGCATGACCGTTGCTTCCCATTTTTCAAAACGCAAGCCTAGAACAGCGATGTCCAAGCCTATGACAGCGCTGTCTGGGTGAATTTCAACAGATCCAATTTTCATCAAATCCCACAAATTGTGCCAATCACCCCTTAAATACTTTGATCCGATGGAGCCTATTTCCTACTATAAAATGGGGTGTTTGGGTCTGTTTTACACAATAACATTACTTCACAACTCCTACTCTTTCATTGCAAATCATTCTTCAATTATTCATAGCTTTTGAGAGCCATTTTTTGTGAAGCTTGTGTTGTGTTCTTGAGCATTCTTAGTTTACTCATTATCCACTCTAAAAGAGAGTATTGTTCTTGAGTGTTTTTAGTGTTCTTAAACACTTGACAAGAGAAGGTATTTCTCTGGTTGGTTGAAGGAAGGGCTGTTTCCTTCGAAGGTTCGTTGAGGTTCGTGTGACTCAAATTCTCAAGTTGTACGGGTTTGTTAAGCACCGTTAAGCTTAACGAGGTAGTAGTGTAGATCGAGAGAGTCTCTCGGGAGGCTGGATTAGCCACAAGTTGTGGTGAACCAGGGTAAAATCAGTGTGCCTCTTACTCTTCTCTTTACTTCTCGCTTATTCATTTTTTATTCCTGCAATTTTTGATCAAACGCTATTCACCCCCCTCCTCTAGCGTTAGTCTCTTATTCTAACAGTCCTGCTCTTGGGACTTATTGCGGAGGTTCAATTCCATTTTCTGAAAATATGAATCGATTGGTAAGATATATTTTATAAAATAATAGCTTTGCACTTGTTATTCGGTGGACACTAAATTTAAAATGTAATGAAAATGTTCATTGAAACTTGAAGGCTAAGAAGAAAGGGGCGCCTGTGCAGTTGGATGAGGTTATCATTCACACAAAGACAAAAAGCACGATGGCAAGACTTGGGTGGATCCAGGACATGCTGAGCTACAGGTACTTTCCACAATTTGCAAAATAGTTTGGGTTCATGCTCATAATATTGTTGTTTTTGTCTTTAAGCTTCTAAAGGGTGATAATGTAGTCGCTTTCTTGTGTAATTTTATTGTTTTGGTTGACGTTATTCTTACTGCTTATGTTATTGTTAATTGTGTTGTTATTATTGTTGTTACATTGATGGTGTTGTTGTTGACATATGATACTATTTTTGTTGTTGCGTTGATGGTGTTGTTGTTGTAGGGTTGACACTACTTTTGTTGTTGAGTTGATGGTGCTGTCATCACTAGCTAGATATTACGTTTCTTATCGATCCATGATAATGTTGTTAAGTTCTTGTGTTGTTATTATTGTTTTTGTTGTTGTTGTCATATGACACTGTTTTTGTTGTTGCGTTGATGGTGTTGTTGTTGTCATTTGACCATGACTTGTGTTGTTTGATGTTCTTCATGTTGTTATTGATGTTCTTGACACGCTATTATAGTTACGTTGTTATTGTGTGTTATTAAGTATCATATATTGCAGGCACAATTCTTCGAATTGCGCGAGGAGGCTAGACAAAATGGACTTAAAGTCACCGACGAAGAAATATGGTACTCGCTAGTCGAGGGCCATAACGCAAAGAACCGTGTTCCTGGAGTTGGTGACTATGCACGGGAAATGAAGAAGATCAATCCGTCCTCCAAACCTCGCCGTTCCAGCACTAGTAGCAGCAGCACGGCGGAGATGGCAGCACTTAAAGAACAAAACCAAAGGCTGCAGGAACAACTTGATAATCTAACCTCAAACTTGTCGCTGACGATTCAGAAGGAAATAAGGAAGTTATATGGTGGTAATCTTCCTCCACGAGGCGATGACGATGGAATGAGAGGGGCGGGACAGCCCGGGATTTGTTGACATCTTTGACATTTGAAACAAGCACTTTAATATTTCGTGTTTTTACAAGATTATGAATTATGTTACATTTGCACGTGAAGGTTTAATTAATCTCGTTTTGAATTATCTATTCCGTATTGAAATTTTGTTTAGAATTATGCGTGTGAAATTTGAATGTGTTGCCCCTGCTACTGCCTAAAAACAGAAAAAACAGAAAATGCTGGTGCTGTGATCAGGTTGTATGCGACGGACNGGACAGCCCGGGATTTGTTGACATCTTTGACATTTGAAACAAGCACTTTAATATTTCGTGTTTTTACAAGATTATGAATTATGTTACATTTGCACGTGAAGGTTTAATTAATCTCGTTTTGAATTATCTATTCCGTATTGAAATTTTGTTTAGAATTATGCGTGTGAAATTTGAATGTGTTGCCCCTGCTACTGCCTAAAAACAGAAAAAACAGAAAATGCTGGTGCTGTGATCAGGTTGTATGCGACGGACATCCCCATCGCTATTTCCGTCGCAGATCTGCGACGGTTTCAATACTTCCGTCGCAGATGTTTGGGGTGCAAAAGATGAAGGTACCCGTTGCAGGTCCGTGGCAGATCTGCCACGGAATCTTATTTCCGTCGCAGATTTTCAATCTGCCACAACTTTTCTGCGACGGAAAATATTCGTTGCAGTTCTGTCGCAGATTGCTAATCTGCCACGAAATTTCAAAATCTGCCACGGAAATTGTCCGTTGCAAATTGACAGAGTTTTCTTGTAGTGACATATTGATGATTTTCAATATCTGAATGAGAGCATCAATGAAGGATCTTACGACCTGGGGGTTTGAGAGATAAGAAAATTCTAGAGAGAGAAAATCTTTCAAATGAGTTTGGATACAAATGTGATTGATGCCCTCCTTGTAAATGCACCAGAGGTAACTTGACCTCTAAGAAAGGACGTTTGGCGTGTAGGTTCCATGTACATAAATATGTCAACAAAGATTGGACCAACCTACACACCGGATGGCCCGCACAACTTGAATTAGACAACTTACACTTGCCTAAGTCTTTGGCTCACGAACATCCGACCTTCATCATTCTTATCCAGCATCACAACTCAGCCCCTCTCTATAGACGAACACACCTGGTCAAGCTTCACGTGTCCTACATACCTTGTCCTACTACATTTTATTGGCCTTCCTTTTTCTTGACCCTTCATCACTTCTTCGCGGCCCTCTGTTCTTGGTCTTTGACGTCCTCTTTCTTGGGTTGAATGCCCCGTTCCTAGGGTCTCCGTCAGTAAAATAGCGGGCACAAAGTGACGTCATTATTATCCCAATGCCTCAAAGGCTCCAGCCCATTGTGGGGTAAGGGTATCACCCTGTTAGAAGTTACATTGAGTAACTATAACTTCAAAAACGAGATGAGCGTTATCTTTGATGTCTCTTTAAAACTATCAAACAGTGACCAAAAAAATAAATTTGGTTAATTATAGACTGATTGCAAAAGGTAAAACATGTACCTAGTATTTGCTCGACTTTATACTTAGCATAGGATGCCTACAACTTGCTATTTTTAGAAGTGGGGACAATTTAAAATAAAAAACAAAATTGATGGTGCCGAGGTTGACTTAAAGAATTGAAGTACCGTGCCTAATCTCGAACACTTAGAATCACCCAAAAAGTAACGTATGTGGATAAGCTTTCACTGGCTTAGGGCATAATTACACATTTTCCTATTTAAAAGTGAGTGGATAGTATTCAAGGGAAACAACATGGGTTTCACTGTACTGATAAACTCGAGGGGGGTTCTGGGGACAATAGGGTAAATTCCATTTCTAGAGGGAGGCACTAATGGCACGGAGTATAAATTGTACAAACCGGGCCGGGTAAGAATTCCCTCTCCCTCGCATTTTCCCTCTCCCTCCAATCTCCCCTTCCCAGGACAAGCTCCGGTCACCTCCCCTCCTCCTCCGTCTGCCGCCGCCTCCGTTCGATCGGAGCGAGCTTCTCGTCCGCGGCATTTTCCGATTCCTGTTAATCTCGTCTGAAGGTATGCTCGCTCTTTTCTTCTTCGTAGCTTCTTTAATTTTCTTCCTTTAATTTGTTTGTTCTTCAGTGAAGCTCGGACTCACTCTGTATAAGTGAACAGCTAAAACTTTCTCCTGCTTCTGTTTCTACCTGGATGAGATCTATTTCTGCTTTTAAACCTATTTTAGTGATAGAACCTTGGAGAACGCTTCAGCAGCTTTGCCGTTCTAATTTCTCTTGTCCTGTTTTTCTGTTCCAGTAATCGATCTGACTGAGTACAAACGTTTCAAACTCTTTGATTAAAGCACTTATGTTAAAAAAATTACTCGTTTTTCAAGGATCGTAACTCAAAATTATGCTGTGAAATGTTAATCCGGGTTAGATTAGAGGGTGTGATTGTGGCAAATTCTTCTTTTTCAATCTTAGCATTTCAAATCCCTAGCTCATTTCCATTCCCTCACCTTCTTCTCTTCTTTCCGTTATTTCTTCTCTGTTGAGAAAATAGTTAAAGCGTTATCATTTCAGATCTCTCTCTATTCCATTTATATCTAGCTCTCTCTTGGGTGCCAAGCTGATTTGAAACTTTCAAGATTATAGACTTGTAGCAGATGATCAGATCAAACAGTGTTGGAGAACGATCGTCTAACAATTTGTGATGAAAGATAAGCAACCTAGCCAGATTAGACTACAAGCGGGATGATTCATCAATCTGCATTGCAAATTGCTTATAACATAGTTTAGGAGAAATTTACCACACATTTTAACATCTTTAGTTAATGTGTATCGGTACAGTAAATCCTTAACATGATGACCATGATCTTTAAAATTTATCTTCAAAATTTTGAGATTCTAAGTTAGCAATGACTCTCTTGCAATCAGCAAATTGTTCAATTGCATCCTTTAGGACCCGCCCTGAAAAAGCAATGGCTAAGAAAGGCATGTGCAAAATATGGTTTTAGGCCTTACATGGTTTTGAAATTAAGTGGTAATTATTTTTTTATGTTATTGATTTTAAATGTATTAACTATTACCTAATGGTATGTATGGGAACATGGATTTTGATTTCAAATCCGGATTTGGCTTAAATTCCATGTTTGGGAAACTTAAGCATTTTGAATTTGGATTTGAATCAAATTCTTTACATTCAAAACATAATGGAATTTTGAAAGCATGCTTTTACGTAATTAATTGCTCCCTCTTTCACATTTTTTTTACTTTGAGTTTACATACATAAAGAAAAATGTTAGACGTTAGCAAAGTGGGGGAGTTAGAATTGGTTTAGAAAAGAGCGAAGGGGGAGTTAGAATTGGTTTAGAAAAGAGCGAAGTCTTTTGTACCACATATAGTTTTCCTGAAATGAAAGAGAAAATGGGGGAAAGTTATATTGGGATGGATGAAAACAGAAATTGGAAAACTTTTATAAGACAGAGGGAGTATGGTTTATATTTTTGGACCTGAGGCTTAGATACGAGATTATACTTTTAAATCAAATATTTCATAATTTTAATGATACAAAACCAAAAATATGTGTACTATATTACACATGCAGAAATGAAAAAAAGTACCAAAATTTAATGGAAAATACATTTTTAATATCAAATAGCTATAAGGGAAAATCTCCTTAACATTTCTGGAACAGGAAAGTGAACACTTAATTTTAAATCATGTGTTTGCATCATATAGAGTTAATAAAAAGTAAATTATTAATCATTTATGCGCAACATATATTGTATATATAACACATATTTTATTGTGTATGTGTGTGTTTAGGTAGGTAGGCACATATCTGATACTCCCTTCGTCCCAAAAAAAAGACTCCTCATTTCTTTTTCGGGACGTTCCGAAAAAAATCTCCTCTTTCCAGTTCTGGAAAACTCTGTAGCTTTTAGGCATCACTTTCAACTACACCATTTGAGTTTCCTTAAACTTTGTGCCAAAGTGCCAAACCAAATGAAGAACCTTGTTTTGAGACGGAGGAAGTATATAATAGACATAGCAACTACAAATACACGGCCCTTTAAGATTAGGTTCATGTGTAGGTGAACACTTGTTACATCCTCAAGGATGCCATTGACATCTTCTTAGCTTCAATGCCTTGTAATCCATTTTTCAACATAAAACAAAGATTGAGGAAGAAAGAAAGAATGTGGGATGCTGGGAATGAGATAGGGATTTAGAAGGGTAAATGTGAAAGATGACATCTTTTGTATTATGCAGATATTGGTGTGTTACACTTAGCAATTATGTATGTTTTTCCCATTTTGGGAAATGAAACTGGATACTTCATACTTCTTGTCTCAGTGAAGCATTTTTGTGCTGACTAATGCCGGATTATTTGGGGCATCTTAGTTGTTGCATTCTCATACGTTATCAATTTTTTAAAGGGATATTTTTTCCTCTTTTGAAAGCAAAAATTTCCATTCCAATAAAGTTCTTCATGACTCCATAGAAGACTTGCTTAATTACCATATCTGCAAAACTATCAGTTCTTAGGGTTTCCTTAATTGACTAATGCAGTTATTTATTTCCTGAGAGTTATTACTATGGATGGTGAGGTTGATTGCAGTTTGTCAAGTAACGGGCAAAACCTGCCACAACGCTCTACCCTTGAAAGTTTAGACCTTGATGGTTATCTTACCATGGGTAAGCGTACAAGTCTAAATTTGCCCACGGAGCCTGCTGATCTCATTATCCCTGGAACTCCTGATTCCAAGCAAAAAGTTGTGGAATATGCAGATGATTTTGAATCCTCAACTTCTTGCATTCCAAGGGCTCTCAACTTGGGCTCTCAGAACGGAGACCTTTCCCCACACAGTCAGAGTCCTCGCACCCCCAGAGACAACGTGTTTGATCCTTTTGCTCCTGGGCCAGATCACCTGCTTCTAGCTCCTCTTTGCAAAAAAAATGATGCAGATTCACGAACCAGCGTTGCCCGTACGCTAAAGTTTAAAGAACTCTCCAATTTTGATTTGTTTATGGATCATGATATTGATGTTCATACCATGTCTGAGGAAGATATGCTCGAAACGTTATACAGAATGCTGTTGAAGCTTATTATTTCAAGGCATAGGGAAGATATTCTTGCTGGGATCTCAGTTCCATTTTGTGATTCTGATGGTGAGACGACACCCACATCTGTACCTCTTTTAACCGGAGTTGCTGAGAGCTGTCCTGGCGCCCCCAGGAAGACTGCAAGAAAAGTCATAAACATCGACAAGGGGCTGTGCAAGAAGCTTGAGTTTTGATGCTTTCTTTCTTGTGTGCAAGAAGAAGACTGCAGCCTTGACATGGTGAAGATGTATGTGATATCCCCAATAAATCGAGTCCGTTGTCCTTGTAAGTCATACAAAACATTAACTTGTTTAGATATTTTAGCGCCCCCCCCCCCCTTTATAATTTTTACCTGAAAGCTAAGTGTGT